TTTCTTTTTTTTGTTGTTTTTAAGATTTTATTTATTTATTTGACAGAGAGAAACACAGCGAGAGAGGGAACACAAGCAGGGGGAGTGGGAGAGGAAGAAGCAGCCTTCACACTAAGCAGGAAGCAGGATATGGAGCTTAATTCCAGGACCCCAAGATCATGACCTGAGCCCAAGGCAGAGGCTTAACCAACTGAGCCACCCAGGCGCCCCTCCATGATATTGTCTTAAAGAGAATTTTGGGGGAGGAGAGAAAGGCTAGCCTGGGTACCTCAACATCATTTATGTCAACATACATGAAACCATATTCTATTTTTTTTTAAAGATTTTATTTATTCACGTGAGAGAGAGAGAGAGAAAGAGAGCGTGCACGGGTGCATAAGCAGGGGAGCGGGGCAGAGGGTTGCTGGGAGGGAGGTGGGCAGGGGGAAGGGTTAAATGGTTAAATGGGTGATGGGGATTAAGGAAGGCACTTTTTGGTGAGCCCCAGATTTCAAATGTAAGTGATGAATCACAAATTCACCTGAAACTAACCTTACACTCTATGTTAACTGAATTTAAATAAAAACTTGAAAACATTTTCAAGTTTTTATTTAAAATTTAAAATTTAAAATTTAAATGGAATCACAAGCTCAAAAGACTTGCATGACTTATTTTTTAAGGCTTGGATAAGTACTGTGAAGGTGCTCTCCAGAAAATTTTTACCAATTCTATTCCCATTAGCAATATATTTGTAACCAATCACCACCAATCTCTGCTAGCAATACTATTATGATTAGAGTTTTATTAAATCTTTAAAATTTTGTATTATAAGGGGCACCTGGGTGGCTCAGTGGGTTAAAGCCTCTGCCTTTGCCTCAGGTCATGATCCCAGGGTCCTGGGATCGAGCCCCATATCGGGCTCTCTGCTCGGTGGGGAGACTGCTTCCCTTCCTCTCTCTCTGCCTGCCGCTCTGCCTACCTGTGATCTCTGTCAAATAAATAAATAAAATCTTAAAAAAAAAAAACAAAGAAAAACTTTGTATTATAAGATTATACCTGTAACCAAACACTTACACAATATAATCAGTAACAACTTTCTGCAGGCATTAAGTTTAAAGGAGTAAGAAGAGCCAGAGTTGACGACCGTCCTAAAACAAGGGCCAGCAACCAAATCTAAAACAGCATGAAATAGTGACAAAACTACTGCGTTCACAGTAAAACGAAACAAAACACTTCCAAAGGTTTGAATTCAAGCTTTGTCATTATCAGCTCTCCGTCTTCAATCACTTTACTTCAAGCTGCTCTCCGTCTTCAATCACTTTACTTCAAGCTTCCATTTCAGCATTTGTTAAGATGGAGACAAGGAGAGTACCATAGCCCTTGTTTTTACAACTTCAAAGGGCAGTCATGGCACACCAAAAAAAAGGTAATATAAGCAATTGGAAGTCCTTATTGTTATTACCAGATCAATTCATTTAACCTAAACAGATGACTTCATTCAACCCTCCCTATACCAAAAAGAAGCATACGTGGAAACGCCTCAACAGTGCACTCTTGGTAGGCACACTAATTCACAGAGCACAACTAGAAATTAACAAGACTCATCCCATCATCCAGACATGAAAATGAGTCTCACTTCTTCACGACACTCCACAGAGTCATTTCTCATCACATTATACTGTCTCTAAATGCGTTATGTCCCTGCACACTGGTACCTGCACCTCTCCAGAAGCATCATTAGTACCAGGTACTCACATAAGTGGTTTCATTTAATCCTCCTGAGCCCCAGATGAGACTGGCAGTGCTGGCCTCAGTTTGCAGACTATCCAGCTCACACAGTTAATAACAGAGCCAGCATTCCAATCCAGGTGTCTGGGACTCTAAAGTCCCACCTCACATGGCTTCAAGATTCAACCTCAGGTCTTCTTCGTCCTTTACATCAGCAACTATGGAAGCTCAGATTAAAAATACACTGCTTTTTTTTTTTTTTTTTTTAAAGATTTATTTATTTATTTGACAGACAGAGATCACAAGTAGGCAGAGAGGCAGGCAGTGCGGGGGGAGAAGCAGGCTCCCTGCTAAGCAGAGAGCCCAATGTGGGACTTGATCCCAGGACTCTGGGATCATGACCTGAGCCGGAGGCAGTGGCTTAACCCACTGAGCCACCCAGGTGCCCCCAAAATACACTGTTTTTTTAAAAAATTGCTTTAGAAAGAAAATTAGTCCTTCCAATAATTTTCTACCATTTTCTCTACTAAAGAGTACTTAGTTATAATATAGTACCTTAAGATAAATCCACAGGGAGCTAAAAATGTTATTTTTTTTTAAGTTTTACATATTCAGTCCATTTTATCTGCATCAATAAAAGCATAAAATAAAAATATACCCAAACTTATAAAAATATACTCAAGTATAGGATATGAAAATCTAACAATGCATATATTTAGGAGTAAATGTGACATGATACTCTATTTCACAAGTGATTACTATAATCTAATTCCAATAGTTATTTTAGTACCTTCTTGCTGTTCCCAGATTTTAAGTTTTGTCGTTTAAGTGGTTTCTCCCATTTTTCTCACTTTCAATTACTTAAAACTGTTTTCTTCTTTGGGTTCAAATTTTGTTTCCTCTATTAAATCTATTTCCTCTGTATACCTAGATTGCTGCCAACCAGAGATAATAAATTTTGAGTGGTTGGTCAGGATTTATTTTCTTCATTTTATATTCTATGCTATTTCCTTATACGATAGAGTATGAATGAAAACCAGTACGTAGAAGAACAATCTTTCTTCAATTCTCACCTTGTGGAGGCTGGGTATTAAAATAAAAATAAACCCTTGGGCTGGGAACTCCCTGGCCATATTTCTCTCACTATGCTAGGTGTCTCTATGCCCCCTTTCAATCTTGTATATATAAAGTCAACAAACCACTGTATGCATTTGGGAAGCACCTGGCCTATGAAGGTCCTTTCCCAGAATTAGTGATGAACACAGACCAGAGGGAAGAGCTGAGGAGTAGCTCCCTACCTGCCATCATGAGAGAAAGAGCAGCATTTTAGATCTCCATTCTCCACTGGGGTCTGCCGATAATCACTTGTGTGACTTTAAAAGTGTCATTTAGAACCAGGAAGCGTGGCATCCTGGAAAGACCTTAGCAGGACTTGAGTTGAGCTCCTCATTATTATCCAGATGGGAAAAAGATTCAAGGATTTGTAAATGACCAAAATCAAAAGGCTGTTAGTGGCATACTGAATTCAGAATTCGAGTCCCTCTCAATCTGGTGCACTTTCTACTAAACTGTCATTCACTAGGCACCAGTTTCTTCATCTCAAGAATTTATAATTACTCTCCTTGTTCATTCACTTCATGTACTACAAAGAGGACCAAAAGACAAGAATCTGGTAGCATTTAAAGTGCTAAGAACAGGGGCGCCTGTGTGGCTCAGTGAGTTAAAACCTCTGCCTTTGGCTCAGGTCATGATCTCAGGGTCCTGCGAGCCCCACATCGGGTTCTCTGCTCAGTGGCGAGCCTGCTTCCCCCTCTCTCTCTGCCTGCTTATGATCTCTGTCAAATAAATAAGTAAAATCTTAAAAAAAAAAAAAAAAGGTGCTAAGAACACAAAACAAAAGTATTACAAGGTCATCTCCTCATCTAAATCCTATCCCTCCTGAAAATTAGCCTGATGATATAACAAAAGTATTCACTCCGTCACTTCCCCAAACACAATCAGTATGTTAATTACAATATACCCTACTCTGGCAATTTACCAGTAGACTTCTGATCAATAATCATTACATGTGTTGTACCTCCTGTTCTGAACAGTGGGTACCAAAATTTCAGTCATCAGGTAGATGAGAGTTCATAATCAGGCAGCCTGGACTGTACATAGCCTGCAGACGTGCTTTGGTCTATACAGCAGTTTTTTAAATGGCAAATTTTTAAAATTAAATTCATTAAAATCCAGATTTTAAGCATCTCTTGAATGCCCCCTCAAGAATATTATCCTCTCCCAGCCAAAAAAAAGAATATTATCCCTCATTGGGATTAAAATTAAAATTTTTTTAAATAAAATACAAATAAAAAACCAAAAGAATATCATCCCTCAGAAGATCCAGGGACACCAGACCCCTTCCTCAGACAGCAATAAGCAACTGGAGCTGAGCAGCAACTGCGACCTTCAGACTGGTCATATGCCAGCCAGTTCACCGAGGTCTGTCCTACTCTTTTATCATGGGCACTTGAGCTGGAAGACCCTGAGGTACATGCTCAAAAGAGAACTAATAAATACTTGTTTACTCTTCTTTGGCCTATTTTTTTCTGGTGTTATCACTCACTAGCTATGTGAGTTGGGTAATATATTTAACCACTAAGTCTCAGGTTGCTCATGTGTTCCGTGGGAGTAACACCACCTATCTCACAGAACCACAAAGACTGACGGAAGTAAGATGCACAAAAACATTTAACGATGACTAAATATATACGTGCTCGATTGTTTTAAATTTAGCACAAGCTGAAATGTGCTAACTGTGGAGTCAAAACTTCTCTAAAACCTCAAACTCACAGAAAACCCAAGGTCAGGGCACCTCCCCTGGGGAAAAAAAACGCAATGTGACAGAATTCTTAGTCATATAATTTGGCATCTATTGCTGTGTCCTTAACAATAAGGCCTATATATCAGAATAAGAGACTTCCAGCAAATTCTCTTCCCCTGAAATACATACAAATCCACTGAACTGCAGATTTCTAAAGTCTTCAATTATGAGTCAACAAATAAAACAACTCCTCCACTGCACCAAAAACTATATATGTATTTACCATGATAAATAAGGCCACGAGCTTAGCAGCGGCCGCATTCCCTCCTCATTATCCCTGCGGTCTAGCATAGTGAAGCTCACCCAAGCTACTCCGACGCTGTGGCTCAAGGGCTAGCTCTCTCAAGTCTATTCAGAGGGTCCCCATCCACCCATGCACACCACAGTGAGTACAAACACCAAAGTCTAGCAGATAATCCCTTCTACTCACAGCTCCAACCGCTGCATACACTCAGGGAACTTCTTTAACTTCTCTGCGTTCTAGTTTCCTCGTCTGTAGAAACAGGATGCTAACAACACCTTTCTGTATGGAAATGAGACAACGCATTTAACACAATGCTAGCAGACAGTAAGTGCTCATTAGCTACCATTAGCAGTGTTCCCTCCTGTGTGCTCTACAGTACCCTGTGGAGACGGCTGGCATGGTACTTTCCTACGGTTTACCTGCGCATACTTACATCTCCCCCACTGGAATGTCAACCACCTCAGGGTGGGCGCTGCTTTTATGCCTTTTTGCATCTCCAGGGTCTAACACTTTCCCTGGCACTGCTGAATGAATCAGAGATCATCAGAGCATTTATTAACTGGAAAAATTATGAGCAGAAACTGGACTTTACCTCTCTTGACTGACGCTAAAGCCCTCACTGACTCTGACCCCTATAGACCCTCCAATTTACCTCCCAGTATCCCCACTATAAGCAGCAACGGCTTGCTTTATTCAGTCTGGTCTACTTGCCGCTCTAAAACCATCATAGACATTGCATCTTTGCATCTTACAACTATCCTTTCAGGGGACCTTAACCATGTATCAAGCCCTTTATCCACATAAGCTCATTAAATACTCACTACATTCCATGAGATCAATATTTTCCCTCTAACCCTACCCACACTTGAGGAAAATAATGACCGGAATTAAGAAACGTCCCAAAAGTCAAGAAGTAAGAGGAGGGACAAGGAACTGAATCCAGAGTCCATGTTACTCTCTATAGGTCTTCCATGCTCCTATTCAAAGTTGAACTGACCCACCTACCACCTTCTGACCTTGGAAGATCATAGTCTTTTCTACATTTAAAGGGCTATCTGTACCACTGATTTTGACACTCATAGTTTTTCTCATTTATAGTTTCTTCAATATGTAGTTTTATATAATGTTATAGTGTGTGAGAAAGAAGGCAAAGCATATAACGAAAAAAAGCACAGATGCAGGCATCAGACAGACCTGGGTTTGAATCCTGCCTCTGTCTCATACCAGATGTAAAATTTATCCTGACTCTTCCTAATCTGTAAATTGAGGTTAAAATGACTAAATAAGAGAAAACTATATGTAGTTTCAGCACATAGTAAATAACTTAGTTAACCCCATGTTATGAAGCATTACCTGACCATAACACACCCCTCAAAACTTACTGACCCACCCCTCCTGTGCTGTTGCTGTATCACAGAAAGAACCTTCACACAGTGTAGTTATCACTCTGTCTTGGAATTATTTCCTTATCTCTTTCACTAAATAGAGCACCCTGCAGGCAAAGACTGAATCTTATTTACCCATACATTCTCAGTAAATATTTGCTAAGTGAGATTATTAGAATGAGTATTTCTAGGATCCCAGAAAAGAAATCATTTCCAACTGGGGTTGTATCGAACTGATTGAGGGAAACCAATTTCTTCTGGGCCCCAGGTAACATCTCAGTAAGTGGAAACAGAAAAGGAGAGGCCTAGGCAGGGATACTGTCCTACCAAAAAACAATGGACAAAAAGAAAACAAAGGAGATTTGAGGTCCTACTTACCTAGAGTAAAGAATCGGGTAGGGAATTAAGGAAGGGGACTTTTTCAAGCATAGCTGGAGCTAGATCAAGAGGTATATAATGTGAGTACTGTCTGGCATCACAGTCATTAAAAGTAGATATGACCACAACGCTAAATGACAAAGTGGCCACTAGCATGCCTTACAAGCTCCGGCAAACTTGGAAGTGTGTAAACTGAAAAAGATGAACACAATAATCAACACTTCATCAAGAACTCTTTCACCATTTACTAAGCACCTTGTGTGGGGCCACAAAATGAGGAATAAAAAAACGGTGCTAACGTTTCCTCTTGTACTAGGCTTTTAAATTAACAATCCTCCCCTTTTACTTGTGAAAAATACAATGAGAATGCTGACTTTGTTTTAACTGATGTGTGTTAAGATCTGTCTCCATCTGTTTAACCTGGGGAAGTTTTTAACTTTGCTGGTTTTGGTTTATAATGTGATGCTTTGCGCAGTGCCATGTACCCTAACGGGCTTCAAGAATTACTTGCATGCATTCCAAATAAAATTTTAACCAATTTGTGAGTCAACTTTTGGGTCTTCAGTTAAAGTAATAATCTTGTTTAAACTACTTTTTTTTTTTTTTTTAGCCTTCACCAGATTTAGAAGACTCCTTGCCATTCTCATAAAAAGCTGAATCCAAGTTCCAGCAGCACTCCAGCTAGAAAAAAGTTTTGCGAGGCTGCTTACTCCTTCGGGACAACTGGGGAGAAGGAGAGCTAAGGAAACAGGGACCACAAAGACAATGCTTTAAAAACAATTTGCATGTTATGAAGATTAGGACACCTACATGTTGCCGAGTGGTAGGGTCAGAAACTGCCCGCGGAGCCAACCCTTCCCCCACCCAGCACGACCCAGTCCACTGCCTTCTCCTCCCCCAATCACACACCCAGCTGTCAGGCTCACAGCACCCTCCAGTTCTGGAAAGGACGAAGAAACGGATGCTCAATGGAGACAAGGGCCAGGGAGGCTACCCCCCGGGGCAGCGCCCAGAGCGGAGGAGTGAGGAGGGTTGGGCTCCTCGGGTGGGCTGGCGGGAGGGTGTGCGAGGGAGCTAGCGGCTGGGGCAACCTTTACCTGAAGCTGCTGCCACACTACGGGCCGGGTCGGCTCCGGGACACGCTCCTGAGGGAAGGGCCCGGCTTCCCCGCGCCTCCCGGCCCCTGACCCGAGCTCCGCACTCTCGGAATCCTCCGGAACTGGCGCTCCTCCCCGCCGGCTCAACTGCCTTTTTCCCGGCTCGCCCTCATGCCCCCACTGGTCGCCGCCGCCGGCCGGCCAAGCAGCAGCCTTGTTACCCCGAGCCGCGCCACGACCCGGAACCGCACCTCGCGCACCGGAAGTCCCCGACCGGGAAGAAGCCGCTGGCTGGGGACGTAGTGCGCAAGCCCCAGAGCAGAGAGCAAGGAGCGAAGCTCTCCCAGGGGGCGGGGCCGAACGGGAGGCCGTACGCATGCGCTGCACTTCTGCGGTCCGGTTAAGGCCTGAGTCACAGATTGTTAGCTGGGAATCTGGCGGACGTGTCAACCCGTGTATTTGCGTCGCATAGAAATCAACATTAGGGTTCTCCTTCAAATCTCCATCTCCTTTCCCTATGGAAGAAAGTTCTCAATTCATCCAGAAATGGGTGACGAGACAGCTTTACGTCTGGGTCGCAAAAACTTGGGTTCTAATGCCAAACATAACTGGTTGTGTAGCTTCGGAAATGACCCTTCTCCTCTCTTGACTCGGTTTTCTCATCCATATAGTAGTTCCAGTTCTAGAGTATTCCTGTGAAAATGGAATGGGATGATGCTTGTAAAGCACTTCGCACTGTGCCTGACGCATAAATGCCCAGTAAATATTAGTTATTACCCTTGTTACCTTAAAATGGAAATAACTGTCTTCCTCAAGAACTGCAGAGAATTGTGTGTCAACTATACTTCAAAAAATAAGTGAAAAAAAAAATTTTTTTTAAAGAACTGAAGGGAGGTTTCCGTGAGATAAGAGGACTTGCACAGAAAAGGAGCTCACTGTTGGCCGTCTCTCTCCTGACAGAACCAGGGGAAGACACCGTGAAAGGGAAAGGACGACTCAAGTAGTGCAGTGATAGGATCTCTCTTCTGAGAGATAGCCCAGAAAACTTCTTAAAAATGCACCTTAGCAAAAGGAAAACAAACAAACAAACAAACAAGGCTGAATTTCAACCCTGGCGCATAATTACACAATATTAAAGTCACCAACAAACACACCATGTATCCTCCCTCTTGTTTCCAAATACGTGACTGATCTCTTAGCTCATACATGGGAAAAAAAGAACCTTGACACCCAAATGCTTTCTTGCACACACAACACCACAGTTCCACTGGGGACCTGTTGGAGGTGCTCTGCTAAACCAAAGTGTGTGAACACGATTTGAAAATCCTGTTTTCTAAGGTCACCAGGCTAGCTGTCCCCTCCTAAATATTAATCTTCATTTTCACTTTCCTCTTGAACTCCAGTCTGAAGCAGAGCTGCTGTTTGTCCCTCTGACATATAAAACTCAAACTATCTAAAACTGAAATCAGCTGGACCCTCTAAGCTTGTACAGGTTCTAAGGAACTGTACCTTTCACTAGTTTTGTGACTTCATACTTCAAGTAGCCCCTATAAATTTCCTTCTCTGTAAAATGGGAATGACAAGTCCTAACTAACCTCACTGGGTTGTCATGAGGATTAAATGAGTTCATACATACAACTTGCATAGAAAAGAGCCTGACACATAGCTGACATTTGCTAACATTTACATAATATGCTTACATTATGACTACACCTCGGTCAGTGAACAGATACTGATCGAGTGCATATGTATTAAGTTTATCCTGGGCACTGGAGATTCAGTGGTGAAAAAACCAGATAGGGACTCTGCCCTCATGAAACTTACAGTCAAGTTTGATTGAATTTGAATTAGTGGGCAAGTTGGAGTACAGGGAAATATGAAAAGATTTCAAGGACAATGTTGGGCACTCCACTGAGAATGGAAACTCTGGATTTATGATGATACTAATGTAACGGTTTGTGTGATTTTTCTAAAACTGTTAGTTTCAAAGGTCAAGATACAGGTACACAAAGAGTAAGAAATTGGTTTAATCATAAGAAACAGGTTTACCAGCAGGTGTGATGGGGTCAAGGAGGACCTTGAAAAGCTAAGGACCTTAGCTTTTTAGAGTACTTTTTATTTATTTATTTTTAATATTTTATTTATTTACTTGACAGAGAGAGATCACAAGTAGGCAGAGAGGCAGGCAGAGAGAGAGGAGAGGAAACAGGCTCCCCACTGAGCAGAGGGCCCAATGCGGGCTCCATTCCAGGACCCTGGGATCATGACCCGAGCCGAAGGCAAAGGCTTTAACGCACTGAGCCACCCAGGCCCCCTAGAGTACTTTTTAAAGGGCCACAGAATGGATGCTGGCTAGGTGTATATAAGAGGATTCCAGAAAGGCTCATGTCACTAGCCTGTAGGTCCCAGAACATATGTGATAAAGTTCACTAGTGAAGTAAGGCAGGAAGATGAAGGTTATCCTCAGAGATGATGTCTTCATAACCTCAGATAAAGAGCCATGTGAGAGTGAGGTCCTGACTGAAGTAGAATGGAGGGGAAAATTATTGAAAGTGAGACAGGGGCACCTGGGTGGCTCAGTTGGTTAAGCACTGGGCTCTTGTTTTCAGCTTGGGTCGTGATTTCAGGGTTGTGAGATTGAGCCCCACATGAGGCTCCACGTTCAGTGCGGAGTCTGCTTGGGAAAATCCCCTCTGCCCCTCTCCTGGCTCTCTCTCTCTCTCTCTCTCTCTCTCTCAAATAAATGAATACAATCTAAAACAAAAGAGAGAGAGAGAGACAGTCAAGGAACTGAGATGCCACGAGGACCTCAAAGACTCCCAGGATGATGGATAGACATAGGGTGAAAAGGAAACCAACTGGAACGGTGTTAGGAAGGTAGGCAGATGAGGAAGAGAGTAAACAGACCAATTGCAAGGAGGAGACCATAGTAGAGGATGGAGGTTCCTTTTCTTCTGGTCTCCAGGACTAGAACAGGGGCAATGGACAAAGGTTCAAAGACACCCATTAGCTGTGTGCCTCCAGTAAGTTATTTGTTTTCTCTGTATCTCAGTTCCTTTACCTACGTTGTTGTGAGGATTCAATGAGATACTGTGTGGAGACTTCTTAGAACATTGTCTGGCATACAGGAAGTGTTCTGTAAATGTCAGGTCTTATGGTCTAGTACACCAAGATAAGCAGCAAGAACCAGGGCCTTATGCATTTGCTTTCCACAATTCCTGCGCAAACTTCAGTTGTCCTATCCCTTTCTACTCAGTCAACTTCCCTTCGTGCACCTCCTCCTCCTCTACTCCTCCTCTTCCTTCTTCCCCTCCTCCTCCTTCTTTTTTTATTTATTTTTCCTTAAGATTTTATGTGTTGGTGGGCAGTTCTTCTGCCAGTCTTCCCTCTCAGTCAATGGCAGCCAGACGGTTAGAAGTTCTAAGATGGCTAGAGAGGTCACCAGGACACCTGGTGGCCTCTCTAGTGGCAATCTTAGGTTTCTTTACAACATGTGGCAGTATTATAAAAGGATAAGCCCCAGTGTGCTTTTTTTAAAAAATATATTTATTTATTTTTAGTGGGGAAGGGGCAGAGGGAGACAGAGTCCTGAGCAGACTCTATACTGAGTGCAGAGCCCAACACGGGGCTCAATCTTACTTAAATCTCAGTATCAGTTGAAGAACACCACTTGAGCCAAAAACAAGAGTCAGCTGCCCAACTGACTACGCCATTCAGGTGCCCCAACCCCCAAGTGCTTTTAATACACGTGTGTGTGCGTGGCATTGTAGCCAATTCTAAGTATATTCCATTCATTCTTGAAGACCCAATTCATATACTGCTTCCTCCAGGAAGCTTTCCCAGAACACCTCTCCCTATTAGACCACATGAAGAGCTTCATTTTCTGTATTCAACATTTATCACATTTTCTGTTCTTTGAACATGTATCTGTCTCCTTCACAGGCCATAAGGAAAGGAACGTCTGTTATTTCTTTTGATACTAAAATCTTTTTTTTTTAATTTTTTTATTTATTCGAGAGAGACAGAGTGAGAGAGCATGAGAGGAGACAAAGGGAGAAGCAGACTCCCCATGGAGCTGGGAGCCTGATGCGGGACTCGATCCCAGGACTCCGGGATCATGACCTGAGCCGAAGGAAGTCGCTCAACCAACTGAGCCACCCAGGTGCCCCTTGATACTAAAATCTTAAAACACCATAAATACTTGGTAAAACGTGTGTTAAAGGAAAAGATGCTCAAAATGTGCACATGAATGAAGCAATTGGAAATCTTATTTTGTATAAGCAGAATTTATACACGGAAAATACCACTTAGCTAAGCCTATGACAACAAGCTGAGAGTAAACATAATAGGATGAAAGTCATGCTCTTTCAAGCCCTGACAGAGCTGTGGGAAAACAGAAGCACCTTCTAGTTTCTCTGCAAATGTGTGCTCTTAATATTTTATATATGTGAATATGTTTCCCTGCTATTCCCCCCATTTTGGTTTCCTCTCCTTTTGAAATAGATTTTTTGTTTCCAGAGGGAAAACATAAGCATTTACACTCCTATGGTACAAAGCAATTTCAGGACAACAGTAAATTAGTCAAACATCCATTCAAACTATTTTAAGGAAGCCCCCAGGAAGTACACAATCTCAGAGCAATATAGTATTTTTTCAAATTAAAATAACATTGAATGGGAAGAAATTTTTTTTAAAGATTTTATTTATTTATTTAACCAACAGAGATCACAAGTAGGCAGAGAGGCAGGCAGAGAGAAAGGAAGGGAAGCAGGCTCCCTGCTGAGCAGAGAGCCTGATGCGATGCGGGGCTTGATCCCAAGACCCTGAGATCATGACCTGAGTGGAAGGCAGAGGCTTTAACCCACTGAGCCACCCACGCTCCCCAAATGTGAAGAAATTTTTTAAGCAAATGTATTGTTTCTAATAAGGTGAGTTTGGTGGGTGGTCGGGAAGCACAGCATTAACCAACCAGAAAATCTTAAACCAATGCTTTGGTTTACAGATCAGTTCTGGGGGCTCTGCGGAGATTCACTGAGCTTTGTTCTAGTGTGTTTTGTATTGAATATCATTTCTGGTGAGGATCCCTTTTTAGATACTTGGGGTGAAAATGAAACATCTGGCTGGCATTAGATAGCATCTCTCTGGCTACATTTATATATAATTGGAGTCTTTTCCCCAAACCCAGGCCCTGTAACCAGCTGCTAATAGTATCTTTTCTTGCTCTAAAGG